AATTACAGGTCTTTTTAAATGCGTATTTATTGGTAGCTGGCGCACCTTCCCCCCACTCAAAACATGATGTCCCCATCGAGCGACTGGTTCTCACTCGGAGGTACGCAAACCTTTGGCCCGCCAACTGCAAGTCAAGGACACAAGCCCGTCCGCTTCACAAAAGGAAGAGTGATCAGTTCCTCCCCAACGAACGACGCCTCATCCTTCTACTCGGTTCGACCTTTGTTCTCTTACGGGGCGAGCACCGATACCAAGGTTCCTCCTTGCGTCTGTCAGGTAGGTCCAGGGTCTCGTCGAGCCGTAAGAGTGTTCCTCGCGAATCGTTCCTCCCGAGTGGTGATTTTCTGGATTCCGGCCTCTTTCTTTCAAGAGAGTTGAGGCTCTCGGTCACTTCGCGAGTGCAGTTACGAAGACCTCGCAATTAGTCTCGAAACAGTTGTAATGTTCCGGCAGGGTAGTGTCTATGCCCCGTGGTGGTAACGGACTCCACCCGGTACCTCGCCGGCCTCTCCCCTTGGACAGTGCCGCCCAACTTAGTGCATGCAGCCGTGGTCCGACCCAAACGGCCATGCCACTCCTCTATGACGTGGCGTGTGGTTGGAGAGTAGCAAAATAGACTAGATGAGAATGACTTTCCTGCCCATTTGGCTCTCTCGCCCTTTGACGTTTAGGCGTTCAACAGGAGGCGTAGTTGAAACTCCCCAACTAGAGCTCATTGTCGGAGGTGGTTCCGGACGTCCCGCACCGATCTAAGTGGTAGGTGCCTTAGTCCTTTAACCCTCACCCTCCCGAAGAGGAACAGGTCGCGCTGAGACTTTTTCCCTCAAAGGGATAGAGGTCTTGGGGTCGCGGTGCATGCACCGGTATCCCCCTCTTGCTGAGGCCAGAAACTAGAGGAAAAGATAAATTTCATTTCAAAGCTTTTTCCAAGTCCATTTCTAGTTGCCTAGGGTCCCCTGTTTATGCAATGCAATTTTCAATACTCAATCCAATTTCAATGCTCAGTCTCATTCCCATGCTCAATCTCAGTCCAGTGCTCATTCTCCGTCCAATGCTTAATGCAATATCTCTTCCAAGGCTGAGTCCAATATCTCTTCCAATGTCTTTTCCAAGGCTCAACTCTTCCAATGTCTTTTCCAAGGCTCAATTCTTCCAATGTCATGCATCTCAAGCAGCCATGCAGGGGGACCCCAGTGCCAATTCCAAAGAATGACCCTTATCAGGGGCCATTCCGAACAACCTGGTTAGGGTCGTTCTTTCCAATTCCAAGTCGAACAGCCTGGTTAGGGTCATTCTTATCCATTGCAATCGGACAGCCTGGTTAGGACCATCCTTATCCATTTCAATTGGACAGCCTGGTTAGGGCCATCCTTGTCCATTTCAACGTTAGCGCCCGAGGGGGTGGGCCTCGAGGACACGGATCCTATCTCGTCTCAGGGGTTGGAAGGCGGCCATCGTCTTGGGTTTTGACGCATGCTTCTTCCTTTTCCCTCATGCCATTTGCTAATCTTACATCCATCAGTACATCCGACTTAGCGTCTAATGCTCGAGTTGGAGATCGCATCCCCAAGCAGCACTAGCCCACCCGGTCGTTCAACCATTACATGGGGTGCTGACTTCTTTCCATGTTTTCTCTTCCTCTGGACTCACATGCATTTTGCAGTTCTAGAGCGATGTGGAACCGGTTGGATTAGGCTCCTAGGGAAGAGGGTCCTTCATGCCTCTTTACCCATAGGTCCCCTAACCTCTTACAAGGACTTGTGCAAAGACTCATTCAATCATGGTTACACAATTCAAAGAGAAAGCTTATTGTCATCAGCGTTTCTTCCAATATTCAAGAGTTCGCATGCCCTTGCTCATCTCCTTGAGACAAAGTCAATCACCCCGAGTCCCTTTCTTACTACAAAAGGCTCATGTTTCCCAAAAGGAGCAGGTACTCGTACAAAGTAGCACCGGTCACCACCCCCTACTAGTTTCTTCAATCCAAAAGGTAGTTACATCGCATTCTTTCTAAAAAGAAAACGAGGAGACGAGGTCCGAATGCAAGACAACATTACAAACTCGTCTCATCTAGTTCCCTCTGTTTTTCCCTTACTTTCCCTTAGCCATCCCAGCGATCCACAGTTCTATTCTAAGTGCAAAAAAACTCTCGTGCCCATTCCCGACGAAGCAACGACTTATATGAAGTAGCATTCGTTACCCAGTCCTTAGTCAAAAGTTGCCTCATCTCAATCCATTTAACAGAATTCAAGTGCGAAACTCAAAATGTCGTTGTGCCTGCCTAGGTACCAGCCCTCCCCCTTTTTCCAGCTATTCCCATCATGCCTGTTGTCCCCTTTTACTGCCCCGGTGCCCTGCGCCGAACCTCCCTCCTTGCACGGTCCTCCATCTCTTGCTCCATTAGCCTCTTTATTGCCTGTAGATGAAGAAGCGTTTCTTCTGAAAAGAAGGTTGTTGGGGATATGTCTTCTCCCCTGCTCAACTTTTCCTTGCCCTTCATTGCCCACTGATAGCGCAAAATACTGGACCACTGATCAAACCAATCACTGAAAGTCGGCCCAAATTCTTTTTTCCATGGCCCCTTTTCTTCCCTTGGATCCTCCTCTCTTCCCTGATCTTCCCTTGTGGGCGTTGTCACTTTGTCCTCTTCTTCCCCGTTACTGAGGTCTATGACCTCGATGGACTACTCCTCCTCCAACCTTGGCCTTTTCCCCGGGTTCCTCTCTTCCTCCTTGCTAGTATCGCTTTCAGAGGGGAGGACTATTGGCTCCCCCTCCCTAGGTGGTGAAGGTCCCCTAGTCCCTTGCTTTCTCCCTCCCCTGTTCACGACCAGGTTGTGATCAAACCCCACATACAATTTCCTTTTCCTGGAGCTTGATTCTCCGACCTGTCTCGCCGACTGTCCCTCAGTAGGCCTATTGATGGCGTTGCTGTCGTTTTCATTTCCAAACTCCATTTTTGTTGTTTGTTGTTTACTCCCTGCGTGGTCCTGTTCATACATATCAGTTACCGCAACCGCTCATACACATGCATTCCCTTCCACTCCCATTTGCAGGTTTGGAGGCTTCCCTAGAACTCTTGCTTGCCCCCATATAGTTGGTAGTCCCATTATCCCTTAGGACCCTCGACACATTGTCCAAACACATAGGTGCCCCACGTAGGCAGTCCACAACATCACCCCACAAAAACTATGGTACATTGTCCCAGCACATAAATACCTTGTGCAGACAGTCCCCAACGTTACCCCACAAAAACTATAATACACTGTCCCGTGCTCCCAAGCCCAGTCATAGTCAGCTCAGGCACTCTCCCCATGTTCCACAAAAGCAAGACACACAAACGAACAATCCCTGTGGTCATGATTACTCCCACAGGGAGTTGGTCCATAACTTATAGCCAGCTGCCTGCCTTTCAGGTTGTCAATTTCCAGTTTCCCTGTCCTGGGCTTCTTGTAACCATTGTTCCACCGGATCCCTGCTCAAAAATCTGGCCAGTCTCTGCCCCGGAAATAGTCCTCTTATGCTAGTACCATCAAGATCCTCAAGTTCGAACGTATTCAGTCCCACCCGCTTAGCAATTCTGTAAGGTCCTCTGAATCTCTTTCCCAGCTGCCCAGACCACGTGCTTTCAAGGGCCGAGTTTCTAACTAGCACTTTCTCCCCCACCTGGAGTGGTTCTTTCCGAATGTTCCTGACCTGGTCCCACCTTGCTTTGTCCTTCATTCCGCTATCCGTTACACGGTTAACTACTTCCTCCAATGCCTCCTCATTCCTGGCAATCTGCTGGCAGTGTGCGACGATTAACTCTTATGTGGTCAAGTGCGGGTCATCGTCTAACCTGTTCCAGGTAGGGACGAGGGTCTCCACTGGGAAGTCAATCTCGCTTCCATACCATAGCTCTGCTGGAATGCATCCTGTCGTTCTTCTTTGGTGTCATGTTCTCAGAGAAGACTGCCTGCTTAAGGTACCGTGGCCACTTCCCCACGTTGTCTGCTGCAAGCTTAGCGATTGTGTTTTTCAAGGTCCGGTGCCCCCTTTCTACTGGTGCATTTGCCTCAGGGTGGTAGGGCTCAGTGATCTTGATTGCTACATACAGTGTCTTAAGCCTGTTCAACACCTCCTGGTTAACGAATTTTGTCCCATTGTCTGCTATAAACCTACGCACGAAGGGGTATCTTAGGTAGAAATCTTCCACCCAATCGGCCACTGCTTTCCCCGTCTTCTTTTTTAGGGCTACGGCCTCTACATAGCCATTGAGATTATCCCTTGCATCCAGGATGTATCTAAACCCATCCGCCGATACGGGCATGACTGCGGGATCGAGGTGAACAAGGTGCCCTGGTCCCAGTACCCGAGTGGGTCTAAGGGGCTCGTAAACCCGTACAGAGCTCCTCTCTTGACATATCAGACACGTCTGACAGTACGTTGTGACCATGCCTGCCATTCCTGGCCAGAAATACAGGGGCACGATCTTTGCAAGTGTCCCTTTTGACGACCGGTGACCTCCAGCTAGCCCATCATGCATTGCTTGAATTACGTCCAGCTGCCTAGACCTCCCACAAACGACACGCCTTGGTATCATCCCTTCCTCTTTCTTAAACAGGTGACCATTTCTTAAGACGTACTTCTCAGCTTCCTCCCTTGCCTTGGAGCTAACTTCCGTGGGTTGTTTGTTCCCTACAAGCAGCACACCGATTTCTCTAAAGACGCCCTCATACATCTGTGTGAGGAAGAACTTTTGTTCCTTCCGATCCGTATCCTGCTCTTCCCGGGTCTGGTTGACTAGGTACTAGCATTCCTTCTGCGCCCAGGTTTCGACCAACGTCATCACGGCGTCCCGTCTCCCTTCCACGGCCATTGCCATCAATTCCTCTCTGGCCCCTACTTCTGCTCCCCACGAGTCATTTTCCTCTCTGCGTCTGACAATGGTGACTGATCCTTCCCTGAGTTCTGCGACTACTGCAGGTGTGCCCTTTTCCAAGGTCTGAATCAGCAACTGACCTGTTGTAAGCGCCGAGTCTGCCATTTCGTTATCCACAACAAGGGTCCCCCCTTCGTATTCTAGGAAGGCGTCAATTGGTTCCGCGTCCTCTACTCCCTCTGGCGTGATACATACTCTGCTCAGCCCATCTGCCCTGTTTCGAAACCCCGCAATTCGCTCGACCTTATAGTCGAATTGCCATATGAAGCCTATCCATCTGCCGACGGTTGGATCTATAGGCTTGTAATTCTTTAGAGCCCCGACGACGTTGGTGGGATCGATCCTTAGGATAAATCGCCTTCCAAACAGGTATGCATGGAAGGTCTTAAGGCAATGCAGGATCGCTAAGACCTCCTTCTTGAACTGTGAGTACCGCCGTTCCGCCGAATTCAGGGTCCTACTTTCAAATCTGATTGGTCTTTCCTTGCCTTCCTCGCTTTTCTGTATCAATACGCCCCCTACTGCAATTGAGCCGCCATCTGTCTCTAGGATGAAGGGCCGCCCTACTTCGTCATTAAAGCAGGGTGCTGCTAAGGTAACCTGATCAGAGGACAGGATATCTTTGAGGGTCTGTGCTGCCGCTTCCCTATACTCGGTCCACTCCATAGTACCCCCTTCCCTGATCATTGCGCGGATTATCTTGGCAAATCCTTTGATGAAGATCCTCCAAAATCCGACCACCCCTAGGAAGGCTCGTACTTCCGTTCTGGTGCGCAGGGGTGTTGGCCATTGGGAGATCTTATCAGTCTTTGCTGGGTCAGGTTTCCTTCCATAGGCCCCACAGCGAAACCCTAGTATGATTACTTCCGGGACGGCCAGGATGCTCTTGGGTCCGCTTGCAGTAATATTGTAAACTAGGAATCGCTGGAGTAAGTCCTTAATATCCTGTAGGTGGTCCCAAGCAAACTTTCGTACACCCGGCTCGACCTCCGTCTCGTCCTTGTACCTTGCGCGTTTTACGGGGTTATCATCTATATACGGTTCACACTTTTCCAGAAACATATCCCCTGCAACGACGAGCATCCTCCTCTGCGCCTCTGCTACCGCATTTGTAAAACCCATAGGGGTCACTTGCATCTGCTGCTGCCCTACGGGGGTGTGCATTGCGGTGTACGGTCTATCCCTCGCATCGAGTGGCAGTTGGTCATATCCTGAGTACAGATCTATCAGGGAGTAAATGCTTCGCCCCGCATGAGATTCTGCCAACAAGTCGGCCTGTGGAAGCGAACCTGCGTCCCTAATTGTTACCGCATTCAGCTTCTGCAGGTCCTGGATCCACCTGAGTGTCTTATTGGGCTTCCTGAACACGGACCACTTGTTCGCGTAGGGGGATGCGGTGGGTTCAGCCACGAAAGAATCTATCTTGGCTCTAAGCAGGTCGGTGACCTCCGCTGCTATCCCAAACTCATAGGCAGGCCCTTTATCATTCCAACACTCATGCTGTACGGTGTGGATCCTGACAGGGGGAACTAGTTTTGCGTCCAATTGCCCTTTCTGATGATCGTTGAAAGCGGAAGCTAAATGAAACTCCAGACATGCCTTTCTTATCAGCTGAGTTTCTTCCGGTGTTAGGAACCCTTCCACTCCTATTTTCATGGTATCTGCTACGTCATCTGGTATGCGGTGACCTTCCGTTGCGCGTCTCTCCCTTATAACCCGTAGGATCTCCTCTTCCTTTTCCATGGCCTCTTCCCCTGATGTTTGTACTAGGATCGGGACCGGCTTGGCCTTCTTCCCTACGGGTTTGTATTTTCGCACACTGCCCTCTGGGATCGTTCTCCTAAAAAATGAACGGTCGGGATCGGCCTTGCTACCTCCAAGATGCGGGGCTGGATGCTGACTAGCTTCCCATTCAGACAGTAGCCCTTTCGGACCCCATCCTCAAATCTAGCAAGCGCTATGGGGTCCACCCCCACTTTGTGGTACCTGATGGCCTTAACGAGTTGTAATAAATCTGGGATTTCAAGCACCACCTCCGACGTTTCGTTTCGGCTTTCCTTTGGCTTGGGCAGGTTCGCCCCAAGTTCGACTTCCGACTCTTTTTCTGCCACCATAACTTCCAGGGCCTTGTCCTCCTGTCGCCTTTTCTTTAGAGGCAGACCCATTTTGATCCATTCCTTTTTTCCTAAACACTTCCTCAATCATAATTTCTACCCTTTCCCTCATGCCTTGCATCTGTGCGAATGCGCCTTTCCGTGTGCTTTCTTCAAACGTCGGCGACCAGGTTGCCAACTTACCCTTGGGAGGGTCCCCTCCTGTTCCGAGGAGTCGGAGAAGTTCTCCGCGACCAGTCAGCGGATCCTCTGTGTCTACCATATATGTGCCATCATGCAGGTGCATGCCAATCATTTCTACATTGGCGCACCATGGTCTCCCGAGGATTATGTCATGGTCCATTTCTTCCATGACGGTCATCCGTTGGAAATACCAGATGGATTCCCAAATTCCTGCCTTGATCGCGCATTTGGTGACATACCCAGTGAAGGGAATTTCTCCCCCCGCTCCCCGGATACTCCTTGCTACCTCCCTGTTTACTGTGCACCCCGTGGTTGTTGCGAAATCCCGTTGTATGAGGGTAATTTCCGCGCCGCCATCCACTAGTGCATCGGTGTGGTGAGTTCCGACCTGGACTTTAAGTTTTCCAACGGGCAGTGCGTGGAAACTAAGTTTAGTGTCGGGCGGTGCTCTCATTACTTCGCCACCTTCTCGGTCCGGCAGACTCAGACGAATATCGGCAAAGGCTTTTTCCAAGTCTTCCAGGCCCCCTAGAATGCTTTGGAGGTTAGAGACTCMTTGTGGCGCCTCTGCCTCCTCGGGTCTTTGTTCCTGTGGTTCCGGAGCCTCCTCTACTTCTACACGTCTACGCGTCAATAGCTGCCTGAGGCCCTTGAGCAGTCTCGGGCTTGCCTGCAGCATGGACTGGAAGGATACTGACACCATGGTGCCCAAGAGTTTGCTCAGTGTGTCATCTAATTCGGGCAGCGTCAGAATCGGAATCTGGTATCTGCACGTTTTTTTGCCGCCGTGGCTTTGTCTACCGGTTCCTCTTCCCTCGTTTTTCCATAGACCTTCTCCTGTTCCCCGGCCTCAGCTTCCTCCTGATCCGCACTAGCCCCCGCGGCTTCTTCCATTACTGTGTCTCGGATGAGCTTCTTTTCCGCGCCAACCCGTCGGGTAGTGATATTTACCCTATCATGCCCATTGCCTTCTAGGATAAAATTGGCATGTGGTCCCCGTCCCCTTGGCTGGTCCCAAACAATCTCGGCTATCGGCTCTGCTTCTACGGCAGCTATCTCTAAGTTATTCAGGAGGATGACGGCTCTCCGCATCCCTCCTGGCGAGTTCCAATTGACACGCTCTCCCCTGGGTCCGAGGATCTCCCCTTTGAGGGACCTGCTGCACCTCTGCCATTCGATATCGTGACTGAGTCTCGGACAGGCCCGTACGAAATGCCCGATCATGGTGCAATACTTGCATTGTTCGTTGGCCGGGTCCCTCCTGCCAAATCCCCCGTTTGCTACGGCTGCTGGAACCACGGCCTCTTGGGGCGGGAGGGCGGGTATGGAGACTTGCGCCTCCATTACTAACAACGCATTTTCCATCTTGCTGTCTACCCCATGCACTCGCTCGTGCAGGCTTTCTATCCCTATCTTAACCTTATCTCCTGTTTTCCCGGTCAGATCTATGACCTCCCCTTCCTTAAACAGGGCTAGTGTCTCGGTGACCACTGTTTTTTCCGCAAGGTCTGTTACGGTGCTGAAGTCCACATCTCTCGTGGACTCGAACTTACTGGTCTGCTGGTATGCTGACAAAATCTTATCCTTATCAAACTCGGAGAACTGCCTGAGGAAGTATTTACTCGTTATGCGGTCCGTTACCCCGGGAATTCGCAGCGCCACTAACGTAAATGCCCTTAGGAAATCGTTGTAAGTCGCATAGTTTTTCCTCTGGACTGCGGCTAATTCGGCCTCTGTTGCCATTTTCTTTGCCTTCTGGTATTTCCTCATCATCTCATTCCTGGTTTCTTTCGAGGATCCACTAGAGGCGACGATGGCCATAATGTCCCTTCCCAAGCTTAGCGACACGTGCTGCCCTAGGTGCTCCATCTTTTCCTCTTCCGTCCATTTCAGTAAGGCTGCTAGGTTCTCATAGTCTATTAGAAACTCCGTAATGTTGGCCCCATCGAACGTGAGTTTTTTTTTCGCATCTGCGAGATACCCCTGGTTCTTGTTTAGTGTCCTGGTGAGGGTGGCGACTACCCTCGTAAGACCATCTTCGGAGCCACCCGCTTCTCCGGTTGCACTGGTCCCTTCCCCTTCCTTGCTTTCCCTCTGCTTCTCCCTGGTTTTCGGCGTTCCTTCTGGGTCGAACCATCCTAGCACTCTTTCCCTAAGGCTCCAGAGTCCGTCACACGCCCCTGTTACTTTCGGTGTGCCCGGCAGTCCGCTAGTGCCGCTGTCGATGGCGGGTGGGGTCATAGCGTTTTTCGTTCCTTCCGCCGGGGGGTCGTCTTTGTCCTTCCCCTTCGTGCTAGGCGTTCCCTTGTGGCTATTATAATTTCCTTCATACCTGACCTCGTCCTGACTGGTCCTCCGCCCCTCTCGTGACCCTGCGCCTTGGGGGTCCCCCTCGTCCCCGACCATCATCTGCTCAATAAGCTTTGCCTTAAACTCTGCAGTGCGCTTTTCTATCTCGGCCAGTTTACGATGGGTATCCGCGACCTCCCTGTTTTCCTAAGGTCCCCTTTTGCTACCCCCAGCTTTCCCCAAGCTTTCTCCTGTTGAGAGATCCTTCCCGTCTTCTCGGGTTCCCTCTGGTTTGGCAGACTCTCCATCCCTTGCTGATACCTCGTTTCGTTATCCATCCTCATTCGTACCCTGACTCCCTTTGCTCTGCTGATCCTCGATTTCTTCTCCCATCGCTATTCCTTTACCTAGACTGCACATGGAAAATGTTTTTGCAAAACATGGCCGGTTGTTCATAACTGTCCTAGACCCGGCCCTAAAGTCCGCCTATTCCCATATTTTTGCGTCTTACACTAATCAGTACGACTCTTCTGACTTTCTTCTCCCGGGGCGTCCTTCAGGCCTTGCCGCCGCCGCTTGGCGTTTCATTACTGCCTCGCTTTGATTCTTAGGGCGGTGCCTGAGCCCAGTGCTTCCCTATCGGGGATGGCCCTTTTGGCTTATTGGCATCCAGGTGCCCCAAAATTTTTGGAGCGGGTGGTCTTCCTAGTTCCTCCCTGCCGCATCATTGAGTCGGCCGGAACTCCAACCACTGTCCCTCTTTTGCTGATGGCTGCCTACTTATCCTAGTACCCATCCTTTATTTCCCTGCCTCTTCCTGACGCGTTTTCTCATGTTGGTCCCTCAGGCCTGCCCTGCTCATCCGGTTCCTCGAACAGGTCAGCCAACCCAGCAAGGTAATTTTCCCCCATCTCTATTTCCCTGAAAATAATTGGCTCATATTCTTCAAACGACAGGTGGGGCAATCCGAATATCAAAATCTCGAGTAATTCGAGTAGTTCCCAGGCCTGATTCCCCCAGAACGGCCCGTGTTTGACCGACACATCGTAGAACATGCTCGTTGTTTGTGGCCGGAAGAGTTGGATCCAGACCAGGGTCGAATCCACCAGGTCCCTAGCTCTCTTGAGGCTACCGAATACCAAGTCCACCATGAAACAAGGTACTCGACACCTCAACCCGGTCATTGGGACCTTAAACTCTCGCCAGCCTCCGACCTCCACCCGAGTTCTTAATCCCACGTTCCTTCTCCCCCGCACTTCCTGGCCCACCCTGTTCAACATCCTAGTAGCCCTCTGGAAAATTGGTAGCAACCCGTGACCTAGTGCCAATTCCGTTCCTAGCATGTACCATCCAAGTTCCGACAGGTATATGGTCCCTGTTACCCTAAGATCGGTATACAGATCGTCTCCCGGTCCCATACCATCCCACAAACATTCCACCATCATGAACGCCTGACCTCTTCCCAAGGTCACGGCCCTCCATTCGATGTCCAATCCTTGGATCGTGTAGCTTGCTGGGAGCGATACCTCCCATCCGCCTCCACTTTYCGTGGGTGGCCGCGGGTGTGTGGACCGTCGCAACATCCGAGCGCGTCTCATCGCCATTTTTGACTTAGTAGTCCCCTGCACAGTTTAAACAGCAAGCGGTTTTACTTATTTCATTTAATCTTCAGCTCCCGCCCGAACACTCCCCGGTTTCTAGCTTGAACCTTCCTTTTCTTTCCTTGACCTCTTTTATTGGCCCGTCCCTACGTCCATCGGCTCATACAATCGGTACAGATCATCCACGTACACCATCCCTTGGCTTATTTCCCGTCGGATGACACCCCACAGGACCTCACTTCCCACGACCGGAGCCCTCGGCCTGGTGCTAAACAAAGCACGCAGGATGCCCAGCACCTCGTACTTTCGCTCTCCACTGAACGGGCCCATTTCTAGGAAGGCCCGATAGTATTCTTGATGTACCATCGCATCTTCATATGTCAGGCTTGCGAGGTCAGCTACTGCTCGTCTAACAAGTCCCAGACCGCCCAGCCTTTCCAGCAGGAAGGGCGGCAGCCTCATTCGTACATTTTCACTAGGCAATTCGAAACTCCCGACCATGGCTACCCTAAGGTCCGCTGTTACATCGTCAACCCCCGGATCTGTGAACTCAAACCCCGCTCGCCATACTAACTGCCATGCCCCTTCAAACATGTTAAACGGGCCTTCTCCTGACACCAGCCGAACTCTGAATTCCCTCCACCCATCCTCTGACACATACAACCGTCCTTCTGCACGCACATGCCCCCGCGGGTCCGGGTTCCATTCCCCATTCTCATCCGCACGCCACTCAACTTTCGTCACCAAGTAAACCATATTTTCCGCAAGCTCGACCCCGACCCAATCTGCCACCTGGTGCCAGCCTCACTTGCCGTCGGTAAGCTAACCTCTACCCCACCTGGTACTTCCCTAGGCGGTTCAATGCCCAAGGGACGTTCCTCAAGGAACGTCCTTCTTCGCGCCATCGCACACTCGCCTTTGATCTCCTGGCTCGTGATCCGCGTTGAACCCTACAATGGCCAGACATCCCATTCCCTTATCTTAGCAACTTTTCCCATATTTGCCTGGCCCCACGACTTTCCTGCTTTTAGTCGAACCACAGTACCTCGAACAGTTTGAACACATCATCCACATAGCAAGGTGTTGCTGCTACCTCACGGCGGATTATGGCCTCCCTACTTTCCGGGGCCACCTCCTGTCGGTCATTCTTTTCAATATCCAAAATGATAAGGACCTTCCGGGCTCTATCGCCATGGAAGGGCCCGTATTTCAAGGACGTCCTATAAAATTCCTCTGCCAGCCATGCGCAGTTCACGTGTATTCGCTCCATCGTGTCGGCTACCTCTGTTGCGTGATCAAAAACCCCAAACCAGTCCGCCACGAACTCGGGCACTCAGGTCTTGATTCGGGTGCCAGGCGGTTTAAATTTCTTCCATCCTCCCATCACGACTCTACTGCTGACCGTATCCCAACCTTTGTTAGCAAACCTTTTCCCCGCCTACCGAGCCCTTGCCTCATCGTCCCCTAAAAGCCACATCGGGTCCTGTCCTGCCGCGAGCATTGTACAGAACAGGTGCCAACCTTGTTCAGAGAGAACGATCGTCCCGACTGATTCCACCCTTCCTTCCGCAATCTCTTCCCATCCTTCCTCTTCCCTCAACGGGTTTCAGACACGCTCTATCCATAGGTACGATAGCTCCGACACGATCTCATACCCCCGCCAATCACATGTGGTCCCCTTCCATTCAAAGCTCGACAGAATTGACATCTCTACTCCCCTTCAGGTTCGTCTTGGTTCCCATGTGCAATCCCATGGCTCGAATTCCCGGGCCATCGCTCCCTACCTGCACATAGTTGATAACCCGTTTTTCCCGAGTAAGTCCCCCCCTCAGAAGTCCCAGTCCTCTATCTCGTCCCGGTCCTCCTCATCACTGGAATCCCCCTCCTCGTCTAAGAATATCTCTTTCACCCCTTCCAAGAAGGTTTCCCCCGCCGCCACGTTTTGGTAAACTATCTGCCAATGCACCGGACTAGGAACAAAGACTTCGTCCGCGCTGAGGAGGTTTAACACCTCAGCTAATTTTTCCGCCCAGTTTCCTTCAAACAGCCCTGCTCCCACCGACAATCTAAAGAAGTCTTGTCTAGCACATTGGTACAGCCTCAGGTGTGTCATCGATCGCCATATATGTTCCAGTCTATCCCTGGTCCCAAAGACTGCATCCACCAGAAACGGGGGTAGCATGCACCTCATTGTCCTAAGAGGACGTCTCATATTTTTCTGGTCCCCGAGTTCCACTCGCACCTCCATCCTTTCCATCTCCATTTCTGCCCGCTGACATGCTGCCCATACCACCTCCCGTTCTGCTTGCCTAAACAGCTGATCCGGTGATGTGCCCAATACTAGTCCCACTACCATTGCATTTTCCAATTCCTGTGATAGGTAGACCCATCCTCGAGCTTTCACTGTTCCCCGAAATTCTATGTCCATCAAGCTACGTGAAAGTCTCATCAGGCTGACCTTAGTCCAGATTGTCTCTATCCAGAGGAACGCGTCCTTCTCGTCCTGCATCACGGTTTCATAGGCTGGTTCTAGGTCGGTCCACGCCCCTTCTTCCGGGAGAACAACAAATACCCCACCCCTTTCCTCTATAGGCATTTTCGGACCACTAGAGTAGACAGGAGGCGACAACCATCTTGTTTCCCAACGCTTGTCCTGTTTCCACATGAGAGCACCACACGGCCCCTCATGGTCAGATGGTCTTCTTTCCTTTTCTAGATGAGAGTTGTTTTCAGACCCCTCATCCGGGTCTCCCTAACTTTCCTTATCCATCTCCTAGGTGCCATTGCCCTACCATACCCCCAATCGATCACTAGTGGCTCGCATCCCTTTTTCTTGGTTCCACTTTCTTCCGACTCCTATTCAGCCTCTTCCTCATGTTCTCTCACTCGTGCAGACTTAGGCAGGGGTTGAGAATAGACTAGAAACTTAGTTCCCCTTACAACACTCGCCAGGGAGACTTTACAGAGGAAAACATAGGAAAAAGAAAAACTCAAGCAGTCATCGCACACCGGTCGGTCATCTCCTCACCGGCCTTTTTCTCGGAAATGGTCTCTCCACTGTTACTATCGGCAGAGTTTTACCCCAAGCCTCAAGCACAGCTCAACCGTCGCGAGCGCGGTACCTTGACTCCAGTGGGGGGTCGCCCTCACCTTCTTGCCCATAATACCCCATCCCGACTTGTCGCTCGTGTGTCCACTGTTAATCTCCGGAATCACCCCGCACATCTCGGTAGACCATTGGAGCCAGCCGTCCAGGCATTCACTTCCATCGGTCCAATAAGGAACAGCCTTTCCCAAACCAGGCTACGAGAAGCTACTCATCGCCTCCCAGGCTCCGTCTTTGCCCCCATGCAGTGGTGCTCCCTCCGCCAGTCCACAGGCTAGGCCCCGCCTGAGGAACGTTTCACACCCCGCCCGGCTGATCAATCGAGCCGAAGCCCATCACCGCGCGGACGAGAATGCTAATAAGCACTCGACATGACAAACTCCCGTTACACAGCTCGGTGGCCTGACCCCCGCATACGTACAAACAGCAATCTGCAAAG